ACGTCTTTGCATAGTCAATGAAACACAGATAGACATTCCTCTGGTACTCCTTGCTTTCAGCTAAGATCCATCTAATATCAGCTACAATATCCCTAGTACCACGACCCCTTCTAAACCCAGCCTGGACTTCTGGCAGTTCTCTGCTGATGTGCTGTTCCAGTCGTTTTTGGATAATCTTCAGTAGAATCTTGCTTGCATGTGAAATCAATGAGATTAGCTGTACTTAAATATCAAGGTGCTTCTTTAAAAATCTTAGATTCATTCCCAATCATATTCTTCATAAAAAGGTTTGCTTTTATAAATTTTTTTCTTTTTTTATAAAAAAATATCTCCCCTCTTTCCTTCATTGACATTATATTTCATACAATCATTCCTATACATTGTGTGTTATAAAATTTATCACCATTGAACTTTGCCTACTATTACCTGGTCTTTTCTTGCTGGATCTTTCCTATTTGCTTTACCCCTTACTACAGCTCATCAAATTGTGCAACCCTGTGGTTTCACCCCTGCCCATCCTCACCACTCTGCTCCCACCCCTTCCCCCTTTGGATCCCCACACACGTTTTATTAGTTATCCTTCTAGTTTTACAAGAATGAACTTATGCAGTATTTGTCCTTATGAGTCTGAGTTAGTTCACTCAACATAATGCTGTCCAGTCTGTCCCTAGTTATATAGTAATTTTTAAAATTGTTGCTCCAAGGGCTGTGCAGTATTCCGTTATTCCATTACCACAATTTCTCAATCCATTCAGTTGTGGTTGGACATTTGGACTGTTTCCATGTTCTTGCAATTGTGAATATCACTGCTATGAATATTAATGTACAAATCTCTGTTTGTGTCTCAGTTCTAATTTCAAAAGATGTGCTTTAAAAAATTTCTCATGTCCATATGAGACATGGGGAGGGCAGGTAAAGATGATGCAAATCTGTTTTATTTATGATATATTTTGATGTTCTGGAAGGAAATATTTTTAAATGGAGTATTTCCATCCAGAAGGTGGGTGTCTGATTACTTGTAGATATGTATATGTACATCATTGACATATATCTCACACTAGATGTCGCAAAACATTTTAATTCATTGGATACATGTTAAAATTGACAATTAAGTGGTGGTTATTTTTATGTGCTGTTGAGTTGCTTGCAACTCGTAGTGACCCTATGTACAATGACCCTAAGCCCTGCTCTATCCTGTGCCAACTTTATTGTTCCTGGCATACCTACCCCCACCACCCCAGTGACTGAATCAATCCATCTCGACGGTCTTTCTCTCCTGCTCTGTCCCTCTACCCTCCCAAGCATGATGTCCCTCTCCAAGGACTGGTCCCTCCTTGCAACATGACCAGAGTATGTCAGATGAAGCTTCAGAATCCTTGTCTCCAAGGAGCAGCCTGGTTTCACTCTGACCAGGACAAACCTGTTTGTTCTTCTAGCAGTTCATGGTATGTTCAATACTCTTCTCCAGCACCACAGCTCAAAGGCATCAATTCTCCTTCTATCATTCCTAGTCACTGTCCAGCTTTCTGATGCATAATCAAGTAATTGCAGAGACTATGGTCTGGATGAGTTGCTCCTTAGTCTCTAGACTGACATCATTGCTCCTCAGTACTCTGGAGAGGTCCTTGACAGCAGACTTTCCCAGTTCTATTCGTCTTTTTATTTACTGGCTGCTGGTACCAAGAGTGTTGATTGTGGAGCCAAGCAAACTGAAGCTGTTAATAATCTCATTCCCTTCATAATGTTGCCAATTTGCCCAGTGGTGAGAATCTTTGTTTTCTTGATGTTGAGCTTCAATTCATATTGAAGGCTGCAGTCCTTGACCTTCTGCAGCAAGCGCTTCCGTTCCTCCTCTGTTTCAGCAAGCAGGGTTGTGTCATCTGTATAATGCAGATTGTTGATGAGTCTTCCTCTAAACCTGATGCCACATTTCTCATCAGAGCCCAGTCTCCTGGATGATCTCTTCTGCATATAGATTGAAAAGGTATGGAGATAGAACATATCCCTGGCAGAATACCATCCCAATTTTGAACCTTGCAATGTTTTCTTGCTCTGTTCAGACAACTGCCTCCTGGTCCAAGTATAGGGTTTGCATTAGCACAATCAAGTGTTCTGGGATTCCTATTCTTCTCAGAGTCAGCCACAGTTTGTTGTGACCCACACAGTCAAATGCCTTTGCATAGTCAATGAAACACAGACATTCTTCTGGTACTCTCTGCTTTCAGCCAAGATCCATTAGCTAAAATATCCCTAGTATGATGGCCTCATCTAAACCCAGTCTGTATTTCTGGCAGTTCTCTGTTGATGTGCTGTTCCAGTCATTTTTGTATAATTTTCAGTAGAGTCTTGCTTGCATGTGATATTAATTATATTGTTTGATAATTTCTGCACTCTGTCAGGTTACCTTTCTTGGAAATGGGAACAAATATGGATCTCTTCCAGTCAGTTGGCCAGGTGGTTGTCCTCCAGATTTCTTGGCACAACTTGGTGAGTGCATCCAGGGCAGCGTCTGTCTGTTGAAATATGTCTGTTGGTATGCCATCAATTCCTGGGGTCTTGTTTTTTGCCAGTTCTTTCAGAGTAGCTTTAACTTCTTACTTCATAACTATAGGCTCTTGCTCATATATTGTTTCATGAAGTTCTTCGATGTTCGCCAATTCCTTTTGGCATAATGACTTTGTATACTCTTTCCATCTTCCTTTTTTAAATTTTTTTTCTTTCCATCTTCTTTTAATGCTTTCTGGATCATTTAATATTCTGCACATAACATCCTTAAGTATTTCAACTCAAGGCTTGAATTTGTTCTTCAGTTCCTTCAGCTTAAGAAATGCAGAGTGAATTTGGCCTTTATGATTTTCTGACTCCGGCTTTTTGCACATCTCATTATAATACTTTGTCTTCCCGTGCTGCCCTTTGAAATCTTCTGTTCAGCTCCCTAATTTCTTGATTTCTTCCCTTTCCTTTGGCTTCGTGGAGCTCGAGTGCAATATTCAGAGTCTCTTCTGACATCCATTTTGGTCTTTTCTTCCTCCTCTGTCTTTGTAATGACCTTTTACACTCTTCCTGGATGATATTCTTGATATCCTCCCACAGCTCATCTGGTCTTTGCTTATTAGTGTTCAAGGTCTCAAACCTGTTTCTGATATGGTTTTGAAGTTCAGATGGAATAGACTCAAAGTCAAATTTTGGTTGCCATGGTCTTAATTTTCCTTAGCTTCAGTTTAAACTTGTATATGACTTGTTCATAGTCTGTTCCACAATCAGAACCTGGCCCCGTTTTCACAGCTTATCCAGTGATTCTTTCCACAGATGTAATCAATTTTACTCCTTTGCACTTAAGTGGTACTCAGAACAAATGTCTTATTTTTGCTAAGAATGATGATTGAGATGGGCAGAGTGAAAAGTTGTATTTGTGTCCTGCTTTGAAGTTGAGAGTTGAGTAGTTAACAGGAAGTTCCCTAAGTCATCTGAGGCCAGGAAGGTTCAGGCAGTCTAGGGTTCCAGTCCATGAAGATCAAATAGCAGAAAGCTGGGCCTGAGGCTGGGAGCAAAAGCCAGACCCAGGCAGGAAGTGTGTGGACAACCTGATGCAGCGGGGATCCAGTGGGTGGCAGTAGGGAGGAAGGAGAGCTGAGTGGCGCAAATTACCAAA